TTCAGGTGCTGTGTAAACCAGAGTGAGTTATGAGTGTGAGGGATTTACAGCTAACCAGCCACAGAGATAACTGACACTATAAGGTGCTGAACACCTCCTGTGAATTTACCTCTAACTTCTCCTGAGTTCAATGAGTTGCTCAGAATTTCAAAGGAAGTGTTTAATACCTAGCAAAATTAGGACACTTAGTGTGTATTCAGACTAGGAAAGTAATGGGTCTGTGTGCTTACTGAAGAGCATGGCAGCAACGCCAGTCATCTAGTGATGTAATCTGCAGGGCTTTGGATATAGCCACACAATAGGAATTCCTGAACCACAATAAACCTTGTACTGCAGGGCTACTCAACAGGCGGCCCACAGGCCGCATGTGGCCCGGGGCCTGTTTGTTTGCGGCCCGCAGTGCAATTTGGTGGAGCCAAAACCAAAAAGTAGTAAATATAATGGTCTTTGATTGATTTGCGTTTTAGTAGTTAAATTCCTGGACTATCAATGCTCATTAAAAGTGCCATCATATGGGTGAAAATAGATATGAGAAGAGAGCGATTAAGGCAATAAGCTGACCTCGAGGCTGCGAGAACTGCCCTGGCTGGCACCCATGTTGATACGATCACACACAGTCCCTGGGAGAGGAATCTCCCACTGAGAAAAGAATCCCCAGTACTTCCAATTTAGTTATCTCTCTTACAAGTGTAAATTAAGTTCACAACTCCCTTGTAAGAACTGGTCTCACAAAAGACAGACCAGCACCATTTGGCATCACAGATAAGAAAGAGAAACACGTGACCCCATGGGTATAAAGATGGGTCCAGCAGCACACTCACTTTGAGTGTCAATCAGACAGATCCGTTGGGGCATCTCTCAGTCTTTCCTGGACTGCCCGCTGTGAAGGGATCCTGTATTCTAGCAGCTAAAATCTGAGATGTAATAGGCTCTTCCTATAAACCCAGGATACACACTGCCCTGACCGTCGGCTGACAGAAAGTAACAGAAAACACGTTAGTTTCTGAGATCATACATTGGTGTGAAAGAGCTTCTGCAAATCCCTTTCATGAGTTATGTTTCTTTAGTTTACTTGCCCCAACACAAAAGTTTAGTCTCATAATAATATTTGCCCTTATACAATTCCTTCCATTCCAGCATTTCAGAGTGGTGAACATTCATTCCTAAATGTACCCTCACAACGCATCTTTATGATAGGGAAAAATCTGCCAGATTCACAGAGAACCTGAAGCAAAGAGAAATTAAATGATTTACCCAAAAGCTGCACACAAAGCCTGTGGCAGACTATAAGATTATTTTTCACTCTGCCCCAGATTATCCAGAAACTTCTCATCTCAAATCACAGTGATTTACTATTTTTTGTTGGTCAATCAGATGAAAATCTTACCATGGTGGTACTGTCAATACCATAGTTTATTTCAATTTTAATTTCTGTTAGCTAACCACTATAACCTGACCTGCCAAACTGAATTGCTGCTATCAGAATACTCTAAAAAGCTTTCTCGGAAAGTTCAAACATACTTATTAAAATAGAAACTGTTTCAGATTTTGGTTATTACATTTTATTTCCCATTGATTTTTCTTTAATCAAGGTTTTAAATTAACAAAGCAAGAAGACTTCACCTTGATTCCTTAGTTCAATGTTCAAATCTAGACACCAAAGGTGATTGCAGAAATTATTGTGGGTTCAGCAATTAGCCACAACCTTCTCTTGTTTCTTTGTGCAACTTCTCTTGGTGTAAGAAAAGAGGCATATTTCTAACTCACAAACAGTTGCTGTATGGATTACTGCAACTTGTCTGTTATCAGTGAGATATAGACCTCAGCCAGTTTAACAATGCACTGGAAAGATTCACAAGATGGTCTCAGCACTCTGACAGCCTCCTCCAGAGAGTCGGCGGTTATTTTCAGGATGTTTGTAGAAGCGTGTCCCCAAAGGACAGATTTCAAGAAGTTGGAAAATGAGAAGGAAGTTGATGTACTGCGAGGTCTAGCTTCTTCAGCCTTACTCCCGGAAGGATTGTGCTCAGTAGTAGTTGGAAATATTTTGGCAATTTCATCGTGACTCATCAGAAGGTCAACCACTCGGAGGGACAGGGCAGGGGAAGTCGCTATATGACGAATGGCAGTCTCTATAGTCTCAGGAAGATTGCTATGTTTCAGTAGTACGGCAGCCACTGGGCCAATGATACTTCCTAGGATCCCCTTATAATTTTCATAAAGATCTTTCAGGACAGTAATCTTCTCCTGCAGAGACGTGATGGGTCCAGCAATCTTAGTGTACAAGCAGTGGCTGATGCTCTTCTGCACGTCTTTGTCTTTCATTTCCACAACAGACTGCATCTCTTTCAGCGTACTGATTAGGAGCTGAAGGTTCTCCTTAATGCTCAAGTTTTCCCTCACTGTAATGATTGGGAAGTTGGTGCCAAGGTGTTGATTGAGGATTCGGAATATTGTATTAGTGGAAGAGACATATATGTATATGAAATCATATAGAGTCTGGCTGGCGGCAAGCACCCTTTGTTTATCTCTCTCTGTACCAAAGATGGACAACATTTCCAGAGAAGAGATTTGACACTGAAAAACAAGCCAAAAGACACAAGTGAGGAATCTAAGAGATATAGTACCTGTATCCTGAGATATACATCTCCAAAAATAATCCCAGGTACTTTTTTTTTTCCAAATCAGAACTGCAGTACAACTCCTAAACAGTGTATCTCCAAAAGCTTCTACATTTCATGTGTCTTAGGCTGTGTTTACACTACAAAGAAAAGTTGGGAAAAGATAAGCAAATTGCGAACTGCAACTTGCATATCTTTTTCTGCTTTTCTTCTGAAAGAGGCTTTTCCAACATTTGGCTCGTCTATACGGGCCAAATGTCAGAAAAAAACCCTCTTTCGGATCATCCCTTCTTCCTCATAGAACAAGGTTTACAGGGAAGGTGAAAAAACGCATCTGCTTTTCTGAATTTTTTTTCGGAAAAGCAGATGCATTCCTTGGACATGGCAGAGCTTTGTAGTCTAGATGTACCCTATTCTCTGCAAAAAAATAACAAATGGTCTGGTAGCACTTTATAGACTAACAAAACAAGTGCTACCAGACCATTTGTTGTTTTTTTTCTGTACAGGCTAACTCGGCTACCCCCTGAAGGTCCTATTCTCTGGGTCACATGTAGAACTGAGGTAAGCAGGTGCAACTCCACTGATTTTGATGCTTACACCTGGAATGAATCTGACCCTTTAAGTGTAAGCAGACAAAAGAATTAAGAGTAGGGATGAGAATGTGTCCCTTTGTTGCTAGATTTACTGCAAGTCTTTGGAAAATATGATACCTTTCTTCCCCCTTACTAGTTGTAATTGTTTTGGTTAAATTTAACATTTTTCCCTCCATGTATATACTGTGTAAGGTCCTCTGTGGAAGAAGCAAAAAGGTACTAATTCCATAAGGGCCATTCTTCAATCACAGCTCATAGGGCAGATTGACTCAGGACTGGGAGTCAGGCAGACTGCTTCTTCCTTATTCTGGAGCAGTGAGCATCTCCTCAGCAAACAGGTATTGCTGAATGCTGTTACCCTGGTATCCAGCTCAAGTTACCTACAGGTCACTCAGCCAGCATTCCACAACTCTTGGTAGGCTGATGCACAAGCATATCACTGACTGGGCTTTCATTTTATCATTCTTTTGACTGCTAGGGAGAGACTCTGCCCTACTTCTTGCACAGAGGTGGTGAAAGTTAAGAGTTTCTCCACCTCTCTTAGCCCCTTCTTAGGGGATCAGAAAGAAGGATCTAGCACTTGAAATGTCTACAAAAAAGATTAGTGGTGGGCAAACCAGATTAAATCTTTCCCCCAAACTCAAGAGCTTTGGACGAATTGTAATTAACATTCTTTAAACAAAACAAAACAAAACAATCAGGTGTCCCTGAATTTCCTGGTTTGGGCTGTAAAAGGGGGTTCTGAAAAACCACGAGAAAGACAATTAAATGTTCTGTAGACCAGCAGAAACCACCAGTTATTTCCTAAAAAATTGTTCTCTTCACATTTCCAATCTGATCTTCAGTCTAATAAGGTTCAGATAAGCACCTGAATTGAAGAGAAATGCCAATTTTATGAGGTTTCTCCATAACTAATTTAGAGCTATGTCAAAAGGGCAGAAAGGTTAGATGTGTATTTCCTGCTCATGAAGGACTCAACTCTGCGTCCTTTTAAATTAGTTGCAAAATTACCATGGATTTCAGTAGGAGCAGAATCAAGTCTGAAATATGTAATGTTCTTGTTTAAGACAAGCACTTCAGGTTCTAATATTGACTAAAGAACTACTGGTACAAATTGCCAAACCAGAGAATTTGCTGCACCACAGGAGGTCACTATGGTAGTAAGCATGTCTCTTTTAAAAAAAATTTACAGAGCGGAATAAATGGAACAACGCTTGTAATGCTGCTTATTAATGTATGACTGTCTGGATACACCCTATCAAAGCCTACATCTAGCCAAGTCTTATTGCTCTCTTCATAACAAAATTTAGTGTTGTTACAAAATTTTACTATATTGGCACAAGGATATAAGTAGATAAAATATGAAAACATGCTTATGCTTAGCAGCATTACCAACACTTCCACATTTAGGGGGCTTTTAGAAGACATTTAGGGGGAAATTAGAGCTAAATAACTGCACAGAACACTGAAAGCCAGGACTGGTGGCTGTAAACAAATTTTATGGGACCGTGGAAAACTTGGCAACATTCATGATAAGTGGCTAATTAAAATCATGCCAGACCATGGATGTTGCCAAACCAAAGAGTGCTGGATTAGAGAGTTTCAACCTGTAATACAGCTTGATCCTCTCTATTCCGGCACCCTTGGGAATTGACCAGTTCTGAACCAGATAATTTTCTGGACCACAGGAGGTCAATATTATCTAGCAGCATTACCAACACTTACATTGCTTACTGGCTGGTAGAAGACATTTAGGGATAAATTAGTGCTAAATAATAGCACAGAATGCTGAGAGCTAGGACTGGTGGCTATAAACAAACTTTATGGGGCCATAGGAAACCTGGCCACACCCATGAATAGTGGACATCTGGCTAATTAAAACCATGCCAGATCACAGATTTTTTTAGACCAGAGAGTTCTGGACTAGAGAAGTTCAACCTGTACCTGGCATATATTTTGGGTATATACTCTTCTCTTCATATTGAACTGCCACTGACTATTCTTTTGGAATTCATAGATGTACAGTTACAGCAAGATTTAGCTGTTTGTAATTATGTTTGCAGGGCACTCAAGTTTATGAAGTACGTCTTTTTAGAAATGTTTTAGATGGTGCATGCATTAGATTGCATATAGATTTGTACGGTACCTGTTTGTTGCATAAACAGAAGGCTATGGATTCTAGGGTTGTGAATCAAATGACTTTATCAACATGTATTAAACAAAAGAATTTAAAAATGGAAATGGAGATGGAGAACCAATGAGACAAAGCTGGGTATAGAGTCTAGAGAGCAGCATTCCACTACAATAATCTAGAAACCAGGCAGGCAGCAGGACCCAGTTGAAGCAACAATCCCTGCAGACCTAGGTCATCGCATTCCACCAGAAAGAGCCAGAGAAACCCAGTGAATAGAAAATTCACTGGCCTGCACACCTACCACTGATTACAGAGCTCTGACAAAAAGCAGGTAAGTCGCCTTTTTGAGTTTCTGTGTAGAATTCCTTAAAAAGTATATACTGGGTTGCAGGGGCTGATTTATAGTGTGCACAACATTTTAGTGTAATATATATGGCCAATTTGGCTATTTAACTTTAGAAGTAGTATAATATATGTCTGAAAAGTGTAAATGCCAAAGAAGATGAGGCTGATGGTGTCTGGAGGAGATAAAACTAGGAGTAATAGGATAAACTGAAATAATCTTAGATTGGCTAGGAATAAAAAAATATGAGCTGATTGGCCTTTTCCATTTCTTAAATTTCTATTTTATTGATCACATTTATAAAAGTTGTGCTCCATTTAGCACATTCATTTCCTCCAAATTTCTACACTACAGTACTAACCATAGAGCACTTCTTAGAGAGAAAGGACCCAAATAACCAGTCGGCGTCAGAAAGAAGCCTGTTCTCTATTTTCCTTAGGTAGAATTGATAAGAAATCATACCTGTTCTCACAAGGTTTTGTTTCAGATCAGTTTATGACTTTTCATCAAAATCACAAACTCTTCATGTACATGACCAATATCTCCTCCATCCTCAAAAGAAAAAGAAGTATGAGTTGAAATGATAGCTCTAGTTTTTTTGAGAGAGAATTACAAAATAAGCGTGCAAAGGAAATACAGGGGATATAATATGTTTGGATTTTCATACTCTAAATTTTCCACACAAGGTTACTAATTCTATACATTCCAATTGGCTTGTGGCTGAACACGGTCCCTTGGATTGAAGGCAGGTTGGAGGAGAAATCAAAACAATTACGTATAGCAATGCTTGCTGCTGTGGAAGGGAAAAGAGTACCATCAGGTGGGTGACAGCTGATTCTAAATTGGCAAGTGTAGCAAAAACTAGTGAAGATGGAATTCTGAAGGAGCCTAGCAGTAGGAAATAGCTATATGAGCTACCATCTGTTAGTAGGGTTGCCAGGTGTCCGGTATTGACACAGACCGTCTGGTATTTTCACCTTCTGTCCCGTAAAAAAATTCACAAAATACCGGACACCTAAAATGTCTGGTATTTTCTGGTTTTTTTCCCTGCCAGGAGGTGAAAATACTGGACACCTGGCAACACTACGACACACTCAGCAACCGGGCCTACCCCCCAGACCTCCCGCTGGGCCTCCCTGGACCCTCCACCAAGCTCTCCCCCCGGATTCCTCTCACCCTCCCTGCTTATCTGGTTCCAGAGGGGCTTGTCTTGTAGCTGGAACAGAAAAACGAAATGACCACTGGCAAAAAAAGCCTCTTCTTAAAGGGGCCATGCTGATTATTTATTTATTTATTTATTTTTGCTTAACTGCTCAACAACTTTGGTCTCCCCCTGTTTTTTTCCTCAACAGATTTTTTGTCCTGCTGTTTCTTTTGGGCGGGAGGGGTGTTCGGTATTTTTGGTTAAACCATCTGGAAACCCTATCTGTTAGATATTCTTGAGGGGCTTATGACTGTGTTATTTAAGCACTGATAACAAAATGAGACTTACCTTGTAAAAATATATGCTAATACACAAACCCAGATGAGGAGGATAAAGCAAAAACACAAGCCAGAAGATATATGCACAGAAGGAGCAAGGTGAATAATACATTAGGTATGATTTATAATGTAATACAGAAAAAGGCCAACAATGCTCAGTTGCATGTACAAAAGCAACATATCCTGAGGCAGAGGAATAATACTCCTTTCTTGGTGCTTCAGTTCTATAAAAACAGTGTCGAACTGGAGACTATTCAGTCAAGAAGAACAAAAATTGTTAGGAGGCTTGAGAGGGTAGCAGCTTATTAGGTCGGCATCCTTCAGGGAAAGATTGAAAGAGCTAAAATAATATATTACATCTTAGTTTAGTAATAATCCAGAGTCAGATTCTGCCTAGTCTTTGCATGAGAACTCAGTGGTTAGGCCTGTGTGAGCAACCTGTGTATTCAGGCAGAATTGAAGAGCTTGCAGTCTGGGGAGAGGTAGCTGGTTAGTTCCCACTTCCCTAGGCACAGTGCATCCCCAAAGGCAGTTAAGATAAGATGGGGTTGGCTAGTCCTCCCACCCATTGCACTGGAGCAAGACGGACACAGTGTGGAGAAGGTAACTACCTACAAAGGGGTGTGGAAGTGGAGTTCAGAGAGACATTCCCCCCCCCCGGAGTTCAGAGAGACATTTTATCTCTGAGACTAGATGCCTCCTGGTGTTCCTAGTGGGGCAGTGCAGTTAAGCATCACCCTTTCATATGGACAGTGCCTAAAAAGCATGCTCTTTGGGACACAACACCCATCTTCAGATATTTGACAAATGGAGAACATTTTTATGGTGATAGGGAAATAAACAGGAATATTGAGATCAAATTAAGAAAGCAAAAATATAGATTAAATATCAGGACAAAAACAGGTTATTGGAGGTGATGTGTAAAGTGGCATAAGTTAGGCATAAGTTAGACCTTGGCTATACACAAAGGCGTCGTCTAGACTGGCATGATTTTTCTGAAATGCTTTTAACGGAAAAGTTTTCCGTTAAAAGCATTTTCGGAACAGAGCATCTAGATTGGCATGGATGCTTTTCCGCAAAAGCACTTTTTGCGGAAAAGCATCCGTGCCAATCTAGACGCGCTTTTCCGCAAAAAAGCCCGATCGCCATTTTCGCAATCGGGGCTTTTTTGTGGAAAACAAATCTGGGCTGTCTACTCTGGCTCTTTTGCGCAAAAGGACTTTTGCCCGAATGGAAGCAGCATAGTATTTCCGCTAGAAGCACTGATTTCTTACATGAGATTGTCAGTGTTCTTGCGGAAATTCAAGCGGCCAGTGTAGACAGCTGGCAAGTTTTTCCGGAAAAGAAGCTGATTTTCCGGAAAAACTGGCCAGTCTAGGCACAGCCAAAAGTCGTATCATATTAAATATCCTCGCATGTATTCCATAATATTTAATGTTGTGTTTAGCAGGACAGATGACTTGCTCTTACTACAAAGTTTTTGCAAATAAAACGCTAACAAACTTCAGGTATATATATATAAACCCTGTGACTGACATTTGTTATTCCCAAATGTAGTGCTTTTAATTAGATATCTTCTGGATGTCCTCAGTCTTCACAATCAGGCATACAGTGGACGTGCTCCATTTTCATTAGGAAGAAATTTTAGAAGTGTTTTTTTTAAATGTCAAGTGCTACATTTGGAGTCAGGGATTTGGCTGTAAAGGATGAGCAAAGACGGGTAGGGAAAAGAAGAGGGAAACAGCGAAGAGGGGGCAGGGCAAGGGCGGAGCAGGAGGGAGTATGGGTGGAGTCACAGGCAGCGGACTTCCCACGCTGCAGTTTGACCTACTGCCCATACATTACACATATGCTAACACTGATCTACGAGTTTCTTTGCTTTCAATACCCCTCTTTGCTTGCAATACCCCTCTTTTCTAGGCCTTTGGTGGCGCGATTTACTTCTACTCAAATTCCCTAGCAGTCTCAGATTCATTGGGCTAAATTCAGAGGTGATATCAATTGCATAATGTTAAGCAGGTATAAGTTTAAGAAAATCTAGAATGCTATAATGTATATGTTGGACAATTACAGAAGTTGTAAATTATGTCATTTTAAGACTACTTCAAGACAGATTGAGAGCATGTCTATACTTACCAGGGAATTGGCGCTGCAGCAATTGATCAATTTAGCAAGTCTAGTAAAAAATACGCTATAAATTAACCACTGATTGTTCTCTTGACTACTCCATTGATGATATTAATGTAGCTGGAGTTGCAAAAATTAGATTGACCTTGCTCCATAGTGTAGACCTGCTGACAGTCACACCTCTAGATTTGATTTGTTGTATCTAAAGTGAATTATTGACCTAGAGACTCCATATCCCAGTTCCCAATGCAATCCAGTTCCCCATCAATGTTCTGGGTTTTAAAGATGTTAACAAACCTTATTTTTCTTTCTTGTCAGCTCTTTTCTGAAGAATGGCTCTGAGTGACCTCCTCTACCCAGATAACCCCAAGAGACGTCAAGAAGTGATCCGTCTGCACCAGGAGCTGCTAGACTGCATGTTAGTTAATTTCCATGCCACAGATGAATTAATTGCACTACTGAATACACATTTGGGGTGCACAATTGCCCAGATTAAGATGGAAAAGGGTGGAACCATCAAGGAAAACTGTGACATTATGATCCGAGCCATGAGTGAAGTCCAACAAGAAGTATGGAAGATTGACAAAGAAATGAAGGAAATACTGGAGCCAATGCTGTACCACAAGCTTTATGATATCAAAGAGCCAGAGATGGAGAAAATTGCAATAGCACATAAAGTTTTTTCAGTTGTTCTAGGAGAAGCCACTTCCATTGCTGGGATGGTAGCTGTAAAATTAATCAGCTCAAATATTATAATTGTTGCTGTTAACAAGTTGGCTGCTTTGCTTGCCCAGATTGGTGCTTCGGTTCTTGGAGGTGTTGGCATTACCATTCTTGGGCTAGGTATTGACATGATCCTCCAGGCCATCCTGGGGGCAGTTGAGAGGGATCAACTTCTGGCAAGTGTTAAAAGTTATGAGGAGCATCTGGCTGAATTTAAGATGGCCTCAGAGAAATATCAGCAAGCCATAACTGAAGTAACTTCCATGGTGAAATGTAAAATTAAATGAATGGCTTTTAATGTTCTCCCTGGCTGTCACAATATCCACACCAGTTACACTTACATTAACTTTTCTGATTCTTTATAATAGAGTGAATGTTCTTACTTCTTTTTTAGCAACACATAAAATAGCTAGGGAAATGGGGGCTTTAATGGATCAGGAGACTGGCAAAGAAATATACCAATAGGTAAATTGATTCAAACCTGTTAGGTAGCATGTAAAAGTCAGGTGGGGGGGACCATCATGGCACGCTCTGGGTGCCCGAGGCCCTGCCCCTTCCACGAGTGTGGAGCTGCCCCCGTTGCCCAGGGGCCTATGCCTGGGGCCCTGCCCCTTCCACGTGTGTGGAGCTGCCCCCGTTGCCCAGGGGCCTGACAAGTCTGATAAAGTGATGTGAGGGTTTGTTTAGTACAATTCTGAGTTTCATACATCATTATAAGACTAGCACAAAATTAAAAGTCCTTAATTTGCATATTTTGTAAATAAAAGGCTAGAGCTAAAAGTTTGATTGGATTCTCTCTCTCCCATGCTTTGATTTGTTTCTCTGTTTTGTTCTTTGCAGAAAAATTGTAATTTAAAATGAATTAGAAATATACATTATAGGTTTTGAGAGTTGTCGTCCCTGTGTGTAGCTGATTTAGTCCATATTTACTTATTCTTTCTATCTCAGAAATCAAACCAGAACTATGTTATTCACAGCACTTATTAAGAGAAAGATTACAATCTATATTACAGAACATCATACTCTGTTTTCTCAATTTTTTCCCATGCATGTGCAGAATGAGGGTTGTTATGTGTACCAATCACTTTCCTATTAGTGCACATAAAATTCATATGGTGGAAATGGGTGAAGGGGTTTGGAGTGTGGGAGGGGGCTCAGAACTGAGGCAGAAGATTGCGGTGTAGGGGCATTGAATGCTCCAGCTGGGTGTGCAAGTTCTGAGGTAGGGCTGAAGATAAAGAGTTTTAGGTGAAGGCTTCCCTGTGATTACAGTGAGGAGAAAAGACTTCCCCCAGCTCTCTCCTTTGCAGCAGCACGTGAGCTGGGGAGGAGAGGTGCCTTTCCCTGCTGGGACAGCTTTAAAGTTCGTAATGTGGGATAGGTGCTTCTCACCCAGCTGCAGCAGGTCTAGGCTAGGGCTGGGTTCTGTGGAGATGTGCCTCTCCCCCAGCCATGGCACATCTGGGTTGGGGCTAGAGGCACCTCTCCCTTGGCCACAGCAGGTTCAAGGCTGATGGGGGAAAGGCATCTCTCCTCACTACAGCATGAATGCCTGTGCAGCGCTTAAGAGGCTATTGCATGGCTGGCCATGTGGCTGCACAGTTTATAGGGAACTTAAATGTAGTATATTAATTACTCAGCATACACAGTATAGATTATCATTCATGAATCTGAATTCATGTACTTCCCATCTGTACTTAGCCCAGGCTGGGAGAGCTAATGACCCAACCAGTAGACAAAATTTGGTGATGAATCCTGATCACATGCCCCCTGAATGATGTTGTTTATATGCTAAGAAGAGTCTAGGGCTATACAAAGGTTCATCTTTTCATACTTCACAAACACCATATTGTGACCAAACTATTCAGAAATATTGACTAATACTTAGCAATGGTACAATAGTAATAACTTGCTTGTATCTGTGAAAAACTACTACACTGGGGGGATTGTTGTAAGAGAGGTAGCTCTTCCTCTTTTTATATCCTTCCCTTTCTCTTTTTCCACTTTTTAATCTCTTCTCCTATCTCCCATCCTTCTCTTTATTCCCTTCTTCCCTTTTCCATCTTTCCTCCCTCCCTTCTCCTCTTTCCTAGGTCTTAGTTCCTCCATAGGCTGCACCTCTAGAAAACAATGTGGTTGTGTACATTTCAGCTTGTCTGATCCATTCAGCAAAAGAGCATTTGGGAGCACTTACAGATGAGACTCACACCTAGCAATCTGTTTTAGTAGGGGCCAATCCATCACCAACCATTAGGAAATTCCCAGCAAAAATTGTAAAAATGTAAAAGATAAAAAGAAATTCACCTTTCTACGTTTCTTTGACAACAGCGGGAAAGAAGGAAAGACAAATCCAAACAGTCATATCAGAGGTTGTGGCAAGCCAGCTGTCCCACAGAATACAGAGCACAAGGCAATGACCTCACAGAGGCCAGTGGCAGTCAGCAGTTCTGCATGATTCAAGAGATGAGGCAGCTACCTCACAGAGGTTTATGCAGATAAACCAGGCAGAAGGACCCCTGTGTTTTACCTTGAAATAGGCTAAAGCGAACTGTAAATTAGCTCAGACTTTCACCAGATTTGTCTTCCTAAATCCAACAAGAATATAATGTGGGTGATTATTTTTATTATTTACAATGTGTTTTTATTGGCTGAAAAATGCTTGTTGCATTTTGTGTTCCACAATGCAGTGTGCGCTCAGCTGCCCGCTGCAAGCATATCCCCACAAGCAATCTGAGGATTGCCCTGTGTTTGTTGCCTCTCTGGCTACTTAGTGGCTCGTCACTAGCTAGGCGGGGAAGCGTCCTGCTCTGCTCCC